TTGTAATTGTTCCTGAAAATACTTTTAGCTACATATAACTACTTTATGTCACTCTCATTGTGTGTGAATGTTGCTTTACAAGTGGTTGATTAAAATACTTGCCATACTATTTACGTATCGACAAAAACAAAAAATACAAAATTAAAAAAAACATGTAATAGCGTGTGACTTTTTCTCAAAGATTTGCAAATTAGCATTATTAAAATTTTAATCCGTTCACTGCATTATAGTCTCTGTATAGCGAATCGAAGCCACTCGATACTCGATATCTTCTGCCGCTCGCTGGCTTTGGAGGTCGCCTAAGAGCTACACTAATAAATAGCCTTACATATATATAACATACACAAATGTGTATGTATTTATGAATATGTGGACTATTGTTTTTTAGATGAAAACTCGTTCATGTTGGTCGTTTTAGTTTATTAATTACAAAAACAAGCAACAAAAACGCACCAAAAACTTCCACTATGCACCACCAACCGATTTGAAGGCTTTATTTATATTCAGCTTTACGGTTTAACAATTTGTTGTTATCATTTGCATTGTCATATTTATAGCTCGCCAATGTTTGTGGCCTGCCGCCATATGAATTGCACTAAGCAATGCTGGAATTCGCAAAAATAGTTAATTCAATTAACTTTTTTTTAGGTTATGGTTGCTGGTGAATAGCGTTGCCTTACAACGTCACGATGCTTTGTTAGACATTAATTAATCTTTGCATTCTGTTCGCTGCCACTGTTATTGTGGCTGCTCGCTTGAGAGTCACATGACTACTGTTTTTGGTTGCTTATTGTTTGGCGATGAACCCTTTCACTTTTCAAGCGATGCTTTTACTAAATTTCAAGTTTTCGTCATTCCATTCGTCTGAGGTCGGCGTCCGAAATCGAGTTTTGCCGCTACCCCTATAAGAAATAGATATATGGCTAAATTATGTATGCGTTTAACATACAATGAAAAATTATACACAGATCGAGAATTCCATAACTTGTTCAAGTATTATGACTTTTATTCTAATAGCTTAAGTTATTTACGGAATTTGCAGTTTTCAGTTTAGTTTTAAAGTTTGAGGTAGTTTTGCAATTTTTATATAAGTTTCATTTAGGAATTCGAACACATACTAAATGCGGAAGAGGCCAGATATCGGAAACTGAACTTTTTACGCCCTTACAATTAATATAGGCATAAAAAATGGTTTTCAATTGCAAATGGAAATAAAGGGTAGTTGATAGAATATATTATGGTATATGTATATCCTTTATTCAGAAATTCGGCGATGATTGAGAATGATTACTGCAAATATCGGTGTCAAGTTATCTAAAAATAAATATCGTGAATGGATTAAATTCAAATTTATATCATATATAGCATAAATTACTTAGTTTTATATATAAAAGGCAACCGGAAATCTTTACATTGAATATATTAAAGCTAAGGAAAGTATTGATTCACTTCCATTTCCGATTTTTGATACACAAACATACATTGTGACAAAAAATTACGAGGAAATTGGAAATAAAACGCAAAATATTATATCATTCATCAGTATTTTACTTGTTGCCTATAATCTCCACCGGATGTAATACCTTCATACCAACGATTTTCCAGTCCTCGAAACACTTTACATAAACACTTTTTGGAATGGAAGCTGAAATCAGCGAATTTTGTTTTATCTCTTTGATCGCCTGAAAATGGGTCCCACGTAGCGGCAATTTTAGTTTTGTTAACATGTTGTGTGGATGTTCTAACGCAAACGCCTCAATACGACCAAATGGAACTCCTTATTGACCGTCTATCTCTCAGAAACATATTCATGAAGCACCAAACTATGAATATCGAAACAAATAGGATTGACTTTTGCACGACTTTGACGTTTTTTTTTTTTTTTTTTTTTTTTTTTTTTTTTTTTTTTTTTTTTTTTTTTTTTTTTAGGTGAGGTAATCAGATGTAATTCTATATAGCTGTATATAGAAATTAAGTGTGATTTTTATCTAATTTCGTCATTGTGATACTGTAATATAGTTATGCCGGAGATTATATTTACCGAATTTGGTTAAAATCGGTCTAGTAGATCCGGAGATATGGGTTTTCACCCAAATATGGGCCGTGTCAAGCGTCCAAATTTGACATCTGCTCTATAAAACTCTTTTGTGTCATTAGAAGGCAGGGAAACTCCCACTTAGAAAAAAAACTTTCAACCACAGATTCCGATTTTTAATGCTATTCGTTGTACTAAATAACAATACTGTATCGTATAGTTTTTGCTTAGAGACGTTTTGTGGGCCGCTCATCTGCAATATAAACCCAAGTGTACTAAGTTTCATGGCCAGACCTCACAGATTGACTGGTACGTTCTGTTGAAAAAAAAAAAAAAAAACCATTTACACTGGGGTCCATATATTTGATGTGCAGAAGATAGTATCTTAAGAATAACACCTACTTTTGAGTTATGTGTTTCTATTTTTTATAACTTCTTATTACTAGGCTAACTCATAGGGTTAGAGGTGCTATACACCGTTTTTATGGTATCTTCAATAATTGTTTGTCATGTGTAGAAGTCAAATGCTGCTCAAAATTGCGAACAAGTTACTCGGGAAAATATCTGGGCATATAGGCCTGTGGTTCTGGTGCAATCCGTCAAAAGTTCTGGTTAACTTAACCAAAGCGACTTCCTTCTGCAAATAGCTTTTTTTTTTTAAACAGAAAATAACTGATAGAATTTTCAATATTACTTTTAAAAGCGATTAAATAGAATATTTGTGCACGTGATTTGCAAAGTCAATAACTGTAATTCGAACTTGAATCAAAAATATCAAAGTCTAACTTTACAAAATACGGCGTATTTAATAAATATAATATTTGAGCTGCTTGCCCTAAATACCGGAACGCAGCGACATATCTATTTATTTTTGGGTATTAATATTCAACAGCAAACATCGAGCGCTTAGGAGTTGCTGACCTTACTCAAGTCAAATGACCAGCAATTGTGATGAGCATTCTAGTAAATGTGTGTAAACGGAAATAAATATATAAATAATATGTGTGTGTTTTGTATTAGCATAAAAAATAGCTAGCGATAAATATCAAGGAAGCGAAAGACAAACTATTCAAGTTCTGAAATTTATTCAAAATCACTAAAATTTATAGCGTCATAAATGTTTAATAAGTTCTATGCATTTACATAATTATCTCTATCTGCCTTTTATAGGCTTTGTACTTCAATAGGCTTAAATATAATAGTCTCAGCTATCGTTTGGTGGCATATGAGTCTATAAGAAAATGTTAATCTTCAATGATAAATAGGAAACCATTAAATTTCTGTTAACAACATTGTCAAATAGATTCTGATTCAAACATTGTATTGAAGAACACAATATATAATATTTTACTATTTGATAGCAGTATATTTTGACACACGAGTAAAGCAAGGAAGAGGAGTAAGAATTGGTGAGGTGACTATTATGGGCATTTTATAGATTGCTCTGTAGTTTTCAACTATAAATGTTTGAGTATCGATAAATTAAAAATTATTGAATAAATTTGAAATTACAAACGAGCAGAAATGATCGATAAAGATCAGCTTACATGCTAACAGCTTAATAGTAGAAAGGAGGAATAAGTGACAAAAAAAATAAAAAAAAAAATGGAAAGATGGTTTAGCACAAAGATTTTAAGCAGTTACAGCGATTTTTTTGTAAAGAAGTATCCTCTGCACTTTCAATGCCAAACTATAGTGGTTTCACAGTTTAATTATAATGAATATTTAATTTAAATCTAACTTTTTCACATTAATCAGGGTCTTTGCTCTACGCAATAGAAGATCCTTAAACGTCATGTGCCTCCCACGAAGTAATAATAAATATCTATCATGTGGGGAATCTTGAGTTGGGAGTAGGTTAGGTTTAACGGATTAAAGTTCCACCCTCCGGCTTTAGATGCTATCTCCTACTATAAAAAAAACGTTCCGAATTATAAAATATTCCTAGAAGAACTTGATTTTGGTCAGTTTGA